CATGGAAGCTTGATCAGTGTTTCGCTCCTTTTTGAAAGAAATGTTTCCAAACTGAAGCACTGAAGACACTACTTTAAGCATAGCTTTATTAAAGAGAAAAAATTAATAAGGATTTAGCATCGACATATAGCAGAGATATATTCTAATTTATTTTGACTAAAAATTAGCTGGACAAAACTTTTCAGGATCTCTCTCAGGATGTCATAAAATTACAGGCAGTTCTCAGTTCCTCGATCATTTTCTAGTTTAGGCTATTGACCCCCCCAACGTGTGTCTTATTTAAATGAGTATCAGAATCTTAGAGAAATTCCACATACACAGAATCTCTTCATGAGAGAAGCCCATTATATGCATCGCTTCCATCGTCTCCTGGAAGTTATCTTTGTCTTGCTGTCCCGGAATGGGAATATAACCGTTGGAGAGGAATCTGTAGTTGTTAAATCCTTCAAGCAGCAAGTCAGCTACAAGAAAACAGAACGGAATGCCTTCAAGCAACACTCCTCAGTAGACTGAGCATGCCCACATCCAGGCGGCACCGACGCCCCAGGAGGCCAGTGGTTCCCCACATACTTCTCACCCCCACACTTTCTCCTTCTTTATATGTTCATGCTAAATACACAAACACATACAGTTTCCCATCGTCTGCAACCAGGAAGGAAAATGATAATGTAAACTGCACAAATCTCAACGGGTGTTGGGGACAGTGGTTTATACAATATTTTAAATCGGATCGTGGGAAAGTGATATAACTTTTCCAGAGAACTAAAACCTTATTGTTTTCAGATTTAAATATTTTAGAAAGCTTTTAAACCCATCTTCTATTCCTTTCTTAGCAAATAGTTTATAGCAAACACTCTGGGTCAATATGAAGACTATGTGGACCTAAGATAAACACCCAGATGTAGAAGGTGTGCGCTCAGCCCAGCCACCCTGAAACCTCTCTCCAAGGCAGTCTATTTAGTGGTAAATGTGCTTTTGAGAGTGATGTGCAACATAAAACATTATGACAGAATATTATAATGGATAATACCCCCACTGCCTACTTGTACTTTAGGGGCCGTGAGTTACCCAAACAGGTAAAGATAGACTAATTTAACAGTATTCACCTAAAGGTCCTTGTGATTCAAGAAAAACCCACCATAGGCTTTTCCCAGGACTAGTGGAAATGTAACATATATATTTAGTTGTTAATCTAGAAATAAAAATGTTTGTCCATTAATTTTATTAAGTAAGTTTATTTTTTCTTACTTGTGTATTTATAAATGTTGAAACAAAACTTTATAAAAACACACCATTTGCCTTCTAATTTAAAAAAAGAAATAGAGATAATATAACACCACCCATGTACCTACCACTTAAAAGTATTTATCCCATGGCATGGAAATTCCTTTTCACTTTCATCATCTGACCAGCTAGAGTTTTGCAACTTACACTTTAGGTGTTCTCCTGCTCCAGATAGCAGCTGGTAAAAGATATGAAAAGTACGCTCATCTTTTGCTTGGCGAACAGCACGAGATTTTTCCAGAAGGTCTGAGCAAAGACGGTTAAGGATTAAGTTGGTCCTTTTTCCATGTCTATTTAATTATAAAACATTTTTTCTCTCTGATATAGGTTAGGTATCCTGCTATTAACCACTCTAAATGGTTAAACTTTGTGAGAAAAGAAAATGTATGCAATTTATGTTTCCCACTAATCTGCTAGATCCACTGGGCTAGTAGGGAACTTAAAACCTCAGAGTGCTTTCCTCACGCCCCCCCCCCCCCCCTTTCTTAACTTGGATTATATTCAAAGAATACAGCACTATACGAAGAACTGTATTTCTATCACTGGAGATTATTTTAACAAGAATCAGAGAACTGTCATCTGTAACCTTCCTAACCGGCACACTACCAGTTCAGAAACACTTCTATTTTATTATCTGTACCCAAATTCATTCCATACAGACCTACCATTTCTTAGGACTAGTGTATGTATTGACATTTTCCTCTAGTTTTGTTCTGCTTAACGCTAACTGAAACGGCTTTAACTGTACTTTTATGAGGCTTGTTTTAATGGGTACACGCCCATCCTACGAATGGCAGAAATAGGTGGTAAAAAATAAATAAGCTAACACAACCATAACTGAAGAGTAGTTCAATTTAACAGTATTCACCTAAAGGTCCTTACACCACACAAGCATTCCCTGGGCTGATGACATACAGGTGATCCTCACCTCAGTGCGACTCTCCACTTCCCCAGCCACATGATCAGGTTGTGACCTGGTGTTATAAGACCAAGTCACAATCTCTTGGGACTCAAGTTTTACCATCTTGATAACGGGAGTGATATCACAAAGGGTTTCTTTGAGGCCGTAGGAAGAGGAAATGATTCTTTATTTTAGATTATACTATTCTGAAAAAGGATACATGTTTCAATGTTGGCCCCAACAATATAGCCAGTTACATCAAAGTTGATCCGAATAAATTTGCCCTGAAAATAAATTACAAAGAAAAAATTGAAAATAAATAAGGCAGAAAGGATCTGAGCACCATCATAAATAAGCCAATGTGCCCTGCCAAGTATCCATAAACTTGTTATAAAAATGAACCTTAAATATTGCCTCAAATAAAAAGAAAGGGAAAAAAAAGCTTTAATAAATTCCAAAACTGTAGCAATAGGATAGGTTACCTTCTTGGACTATAACATAATAAAAATGAAACCCTAATCATTTAGAACTTTTAAAAAGCTCTTCTAAATAACCTGAGATATAAGCAATTTCAATAGTATAAAAGGAACACTACACCCAGCCTTATAATGATAGACTTGAAAAACTGAATAATATAGATAATTTCCTAGGAAAATAGAAATCCATTTCTAGTCCATCGCCTTAACCACTTGGCCACGACTACACATTAGAAATCCATTTAAGAAAAAAACAAGAGAAAACTTGAATGGACCATAATCACAAAAAGTAATTAAGTCATTTGGCAAATTCCTAAGGAATATGTAATTGCCTTACTACATAACTGTTTTAGGGAATCAGAACCCAGTGATTATTTCATAATTCACTTAAAAAAATTATCACAACACTGAATACCCAAACAGGTAAAGATAGACTAAAAAAAGGAAAGCAAAATAAAACCGAATATCTTACTCATAAGTAAGTGTGTGTGTGTGTGTGTGTGTGTATATATATATATGCCAAATTAAACACTGCAAAACAAAGAAACACAACAATGATCAAGAATGGTGTATTCCACGACAACTAAGAAGGGCGGATACTAATATACATACTACTATCATTCATCACATGAGTAGTCAAGGGACTGAAGGGCTTTCTTCAAAGAAATGAACAAAGTGACTCTAAAATTTATAGGGAAATGGAAAGGACCTAGAATAGTCACAACAATTTTGAGAAAGAGAACAAGAACCAGAGCTGAAGGGCTCAAACTATTCAATTTCAAAAAGCTACAAATGTATTAAGACAGTGTGGTAAGGATAGAGACCGAGTCCAGACATAGGCCAGACATGTACGGCCAATCCATCTTCAACTGAGGTGCCAAGGTAATTTAACAGTGAAAGGATCTTTTCAACAAATGAAGCTTAAAAAGATGTAAAATAAAACAAAATAAATGCCAAACTTGGACCCTTACCTCACTCCATATACAACAATTAAGTCAAAGTAGATCACAGACCTAAACATATGGGGTAAAACTATTAAACTTCTATAAGAACAGAAGAAAATTTTTACAACCTTAAGTTGGACCAAGATTTCTAGACAAATGCAAAAAGCAGGAACCATAAATTAAGCACTGATGAATTTTATCAAAATTTAGAACTTCTGTTCTTCAAAAGACACTGTAAAGAAATAAAAAGAAACTTCAGACTAGCAGAGAATATTTGCGGAACACATTATCTGATAAAGGATTTGTACCCAGAATACATAAGGAGCTCCTACAACTCAATTATAAGACGACCAACCAAATTTTTAAAAAGCTGGATAAAAGATTTAAACAAATTATTTCAATGATATGTATGGCTACATTTTTAAAGAAAGACTAGCAAAGATATAGAACTAGAACTCTCACAAAACCCTGGTAAGAATGCAAAATGGTACAGCCACTTTGGAAAATAGTTTGCTAGCTTCTTATAAAATTAAACTTAAGTTACCATATGACTCAGCAGTTCTACTCTTAGGTAGTTAGTTACCTAAGAGAAACGAAAGCATGTGTCCACACAAAAACTTGCACAGGAATGTTCGTAGCCACTTTATTCTTAACAGCACTCAATGAAAACAACCCAATGTTCATCAAGTGGTAAATGGATAAAGAAATCATGGTATATTTACACAATGAAATACTACTAAGCAGTAAAAAGGAACCAACCAGTGATATGCTATGTGAATGACATAAAAAACTACACAATATAAGATTCAATTTATTTGACATTCTAAAGAAAAACTATAGAGACAAATAGATCAATGGTTATCAGGGCTAGGGGGTAGAAGCAGGAGGAGGGGGCTGATTGCATAAAGGCGAAAGGAAACTTTTTGGGGTAATGGAAATATTCTCTCTGGATCCTGGTGCTAGTTATACCACTATATTAAATACTCACCAACACTCATCGGACTGTACACTTAAAAAGGGTGAATGTTATTGCATACAAAATATAGCTCAATAAACCTAATTTTAAAAACTACTCAAGGGAGATATCTTGATACTTTAGGACCCCTTAAATAAATGCCAATTTTAAAAATATAATTAATCATTTATTCTTTATATTTACTACAAACATTAAGCATGATACTTTCTCACTAAAGTGAAAAATCTTGGCTTACACTCTTGTACTTATTTCTCCACTCAACTTGCTTATTCTTATATCCACTACTTTAGGCCCCTTCTCGTCTTTTCAATGTTGTTTTAGTGTAGAAATATTTTAAGTAGAAAAAGATGAGTACTCAGTACTGGAATGCTACCACAGAAAAACTTGAACTACATTTTATTACATATACATTGTTCTTCAATAATACTGTTTTTCAAAACTGAAGAGGGTAATTTACTAAAAATGTATGATCTATTATTTTTTTGTCTAATTTTATGAGCATTCATTAAGAACTCATCCAAGCCTGACTGGCGTGGCTCAGTGGTTGTTGACCTATGAACCAGGAGGTCACAGTTCAATCCCTGGTCAGGGCACATGCCCGGGTTGCAGGCTCGATCCCCAGTGTGGGGCATGCAGCTGATCAATGATTCTCTCTCATTACTAATGTTTCTCTCTCTCCCTCTCCCTTCCTCTCTGAAATCAACGCGTGCGCGCATGCGCGCGCGCGCGCACACACACACACACGCAAACCTATGTATATAAAAGCCTAAGTGACTGTTCAACCAGTAGCTATGATGCGCACTGACCACCAGGGGGGAGATGCTTAATGCATAGGCATGGAAACATGGAACAGACTGATGAATTTCAGAGGGAAGTGGGGGAGGAGGGAAGAGATTAACCAAAGATCTTATATGCATACTAGAGGCCTGGTGCATGGGATTCATGCACTGGTGGGGGGCATGGCTTGTGGGGATTGGCCCGCTGTGGGAGTGCTGCTCATCCTGGTCTGCCGAGCAGCTGCTCCCTGGTCCGGCATCTCTCATGGAGCCGGAGCACTTGCCTCTCCAGGGGACCCGGTCAGGGCCAGGCCAGGGACAATAGCACTGAGAGACAGTGGAGTAGGCCTCAGTCCCCCAGTGGCCACAAACCCGCCTCCCAGCCTCTGGTCAGCCAAGTGACGCTTCCACTGTGGTAGCGCACTGACCACCAGGGGGCAGCTCCTGCATTGAGCGTCTGCCCCTTGGTGGTCAGTGCGTGTCACAGTGACTGGTCGACAAGTCATTCTGGTTGTTCTGCCATTTAGTTGCTGGGCTTTTATTGTATAGGACTAGAGGCCCAGTGCACAAATTTGTGCACCGGTGGGGTCCCCGGCCTGGCCTGCGGGGATCGGGCCTGGCCTGCAGGGATCGGGCTGTAACCGGGAGTCCAACATCCCCCAAGGGGTCCCGGATTGTGAGAGGGTGCAGGCCAGGCCAAGGGACCCCACCTGTGCATGAATCCATATTAGTCTGAAGATGAATGCAGAGGGACAAGTAGCGCTATAGGCTCTGATGATGACAGTGGAGTCTATTCTGTAAGAACACATTTCTGAGGACAGGATGCATGGCGTTAGCATTCAGCAGGAAGGACTTCCTTACTCATTGTTTTGCGACAAGAACCTGGACCGTTGTTTAGTTAAATGGACATGTAACAATATTCTTATGTGATGCTCTGGCCTCTAATATATATATATATATATATAAAACAACTCATTGAAGCCCAGCTGGTGTGGCTCAGTGGTTGAGTGTTGATCCATGAATCAAGAGGTGATGGGTTTGATTCCCAGTCAGGAAATATGCCTGGGTTGTGGGCTCAATCCCCAGTAGGGGGCATGCAGGAGACAGCCGACTGATGTTTCTGTCTCTCTATTCCTCTTCCTTCCTCTCTCTAAAAATCAATAAAGCCTTGCTCTGGACAGAAAATGCATAGCTAGTTTGATACACCTAAGGTGTCATGCCATCATAACAACAAACATGCATCCCATTACAGACCTGTTTCAGATGCCACTAAACCTCAGAATTTAGAGGGAAAAGGGAGTACGACTACAAAGAAAAGGCATTTTGTGACAAATAGCCTCTTACCACCTCTTACACAGGCATGTATACACTCTGCATAATAAATGATCAAAACATTGGCTAAACCAAAAAAATCTCTGGACATGGTCTTACATTTATAACTGAGTGTGAGTGGAATAGAATATACCAAAATGGAACATATCTGGGAAACTAGGATGGTGTCAGTCACAATACCTGCCATGTCCTCTAGTCTAAAAGCTCTCAGACCACCCAAACTTCCTGAACAATTTAAATTCCATCGATGACAATGTATCTTTAAGAGGCTGCTTAACAATGAGTAGTAAGCATTTAGCATTTTCTTCTATAAAGAACTTATTAAGAGGCACAAAACCAAATGACAATTTATGTGGGGTTTTTGGTTAGTTTTGTACTATGGGAGAGAAAAAAAAGTTTTGTTTGCATTTTTTCTTAAATGGGAGAAACATTTTCTCTTTTGAGATAGGGTCTCGTGATGTCATATAAGCACAAGTTTTATACATATAACCATATAAATATGTTTGTGACATTGAGAGATGCTGACCTAATGCCCCCAAACTTAGTCAAACTGTGAGGCTGTGTTCTTTCAACACGTGAGCACAGTGGTACGGGCACTTCCAAAGGACGAGGTTTGATGGGCACACACAGGAAGGCATCGCAGAGAAGAATGCCATTCGAGCTGATTACGGTTTATCAAGTATATTAGTTTGCTGCAAGCTAACTGGTAATTTAAAGGGAGGTTCTATGAGTCTTTTTCTCTAAAAAATTATATTTATGGGATGATATTGGTTAATAAAATTATGTAGGCTTCCAGTGTAACTCCTTCTTTATTTCTAAGTTTTCTTAAAA